TAGTCCCCTATAAGCACATATTTTCGTCCATAGTCTATGGCTTCGCACTATTTATGAACTAATTAGGCCTTTACGCGGCTGTACTTTGTGCTGCTGCCCTTTTTGGGGGCGAAGCACAACGACACCAAGAAGAAGGCTGATAGGGTAAACTCGTCCCAAATTAATTATTTTAGTACGCATTGTTGTTTCTGTTCTCACTGTGTGTAGCGCAAACATTGCTGACAATTCTACTCCAAGAGTGGATTCTTTTAGCTCTACTCGTTGTCGTTGATGTGAGTCCTTTTTTTGAATTCTCCCAAAATTTCACAGCTGACTACCAGAAATAATCTTCTGCATATATTTAGGTTGTCGTATTGGGTTGGGCAATTTTCCACAAGGGAAACTCGTATGTGCTCTCGTCTGTTGTGATTGTTTGCTCTGTGGTTAGTCATCACTTTATCTATCACTTTCCGGATAAAATCTAATAACAATTGTAACAATAAGCTCCCACAAGGATTATACAGCAAAAAATGTTTGCGAGCTAGCCACAACAACTGCTGGGAAGCAATATCTAGTCTGGGGACCAGTTTTCGCTATATCCCTATCAATTTTGAAAATAATTTCGCCAAAAGTATATTTGCGGTTAGAATCTCTTTTTGCCGAGAATAAATGCACTGAGATAGAAGGAGCTCTAATTTGTTATTTGAATAATTCATAAGACAGATTTATGCAAAAGTGTGCTCTACAACAGAAAAAGTGCTCTTGATGCTTTAGCACAAAAATTAGCCAAATTGCAACCTCCATATTTGCCGTTTTTATCCTTCAATAGATTTTATTTATACGCTGTCGTCAATAGGGGCAAGAAAATTCAGACCCTTTGTTAATAATTTCTCACCCAAGCGTTACTTAGGCACTTTCTCGCTCAGAACGAACTTCGGTTTTTTCACTGATATTTTGAGAAAAAAAATTTGCAGATAGGAATTTTCTTGATTGACACAAATGTATCAATTATTTCCCGTATTCATTTGAAAAATCATTAGATAAATTTTGATACTTCTGGGGCGGTACCTATCACTTACCCGATGTCTGCCCGATCGGGTGAAGGAGCTCATCATACTGGTAAAATTGCGCCCGATCTAAAGATCGGGAGAGTTGATCAAAACCCCGATAATATTTATGGTTGAGTAACAGCGCTATAACATCAATGAAACCTTTTGTAATCAATTTTCATTTTTTCAACTTTGAAAAATCGAAAAAAAAAACATTTTTTTCAGGTTCTTCTCGCATGTGCACCATACATAGTACACTCATCACTTACAGTTCTAATACTGTTTCTTTGCTATACTCTACTTCCACTACCTCTCCTTCCTACGGTAGGTTTACTGTACCTTTGATATCTCTTACAAATTTGATCTACCCCTATTCAGGCACTGGCAGCAGCTGTTGTGTCGGCAACGGGTCTTTCCATACAAGTGATAAATAATGCTAATATTACAATGGTAAGATTTATTCAGAGTGTTACGCCAAGAATCAATAAATCAATAATCATGTTTCAGCTTGTCTCGCATGCTATTCTCTTCTTTGCCATCAATATCGTTGGTTTTTTCGTGTTCTATCCAATTGAACTGGTGCAAAGGAAAACATTCCGGGAAACGAGGTTGGTGTTTTTCCCAGGGCAATTACTGTAGCATTTTCGATTTGAGTATGAAGGAAATATTCTGGGGGGGGGGGAAGGGTGATGGAAACAAAGGGCATTTG